ACAAATTCATAGCTGGAAACCAGACCAGCTCACCTGTATGTTAGTACTGTTGGAGCTAAATGTTAGATTTGTAAGGATACGTTTAGTGGTTTGACTCTATAAAAGGCTTGTAAGTTGCTGTATGCCTTACTCTGACTTGTAGTGTCTGTATCCCATTGTGACAGTGTTGGGACTCATCACCCAGTGCCCCCTGCTGGTTGTCCTCAGGAATTAGCTCAGTCCAGTGGAGCACCCCCTCCTGGTGGTGTCCCATCCATCGTCTCACCCTCGGTTGGCATGTGGACCCGCGTTGCTCCCAACTTGCGGCGTCCTCTTCGAGCCACTGCCCTCCGACAGTGCCCCTTAGTCTATCCTCGCTCTCTTCCGGGGGGTGGTGGGGTGTCAATCAGCTGTCTCTCTGCACCCCAGCCAATGTGGGCAACTGCACCCCCAAAGTCACACCCCTCTTGGCAGGGGGTTGATGCAGCCCAAAACAGCCACTCCCATCGGCCGGGTGTAAGGCAAGGGGGGGACCCAGGCACGCCCACTACTCTGGGTCCCAACCCAGGGACCCTCTAGTGGCCACCATCCTGCCCTCCTTCTCTCCCTCCATCTGTCCATGTCCCTGGGCCGCTTCCCCTTCAGCCCCTCGCACCGGCTAGGCCCTTCCCCTCAAGGCCTACAGCCTGGCAGACACCGGGCTGGAGTTCCCTTCTTCTCGTCCAAGCCTGCCCAGCACTGCGCTGTCCCAGGTGCTAGTCTCCCACCTCTGGAGACAGACCTTCCCCTGTCAAAGGCCTGGGACAGACTGCCTGCACCCTTCCTGGGCAGCCTTTATATAGGGCCAAGCCGAGCCCTGATTGGCTGTCTCCAATCTTGGCTCTGATTGGCCCCCAATAAGCCCTTTTTTCATTGGCTGCTTGCCTGCGCAGCTGCTCTGGCCTACTCTAGCCCCCTTTCACACCCATGCTATAAAGGTAATATGAAAATTTTGCTTTATAATTGTAAAAATGCCTGCTCTGAACTTGTGAAGTCAGACAGGAGGCGTGTCTCCCCGGCCCATTAAGGAGGACTAACAAACTAAGTGGGCCATTGTAGGACAAAAACTTCATTGATTGCCCCATCCACCCATGAAGAAGTTGCATGCAGATATGCTCATCCCATCGGTTTGAACTCTGGGGGGAAGGTCATATAAAGATGCTCACAAGAAGAAATAGTTTGCTGTTTGGACTCTCAGAAGGGCTGGAGCTAAGGGACAAAAGCAGAGATCCCCAGGGTCCACCTGGGTTAGCCCTAAAAGACATTCAGTGCTGATGGAACCATCTTTTGGAACCATCTACGGTAACTCATTTGTGCTTACATTGTGCCTGCCTTAACCTGTAAATAACTCTCATTTCTTTTTCCTAGTTTATAAATCCTTAGTTTGCTGTAGGATTGGCGACTGTCTTCGGTGTGAGATCCAAGGTACAAATTAATCCTGGGTAAGTGACTGGTCCCAATCTGACTATTTTGTGATCTTTGGTGTAAGTGAGCATTTATCTAACTCCAGCTTGCCTGGGGGGCAAGATAGACTGGCGTGTCCAAGGGGACTGTCTGTGACTCCAGGATAAGATTATTGTGAGTTCACTTTGGGAGTTCACATTTGTTACTGGGTTGGTGAAATCTAATTATAAAACATATCACCCGTCTGGGGTGTCTGCCCTGAGGCTGGCACTCACGGTCATGAACCACTCCAGACAGCGTGACACCGGCTCTCTTCAGATTCTGCCCATAACTGTCAAAGGGACCTGAGCACTTGAAAATCTGAGCCTTACTGTCCAGCATGGACCAGTGTCGGAGGCCGAGATCACGGAGTACTGAATTGCTATAGTAAGGGAGGACTCCTAAGGACCTCCTAGTCTCTAGCTAATCTGAGCTCCACCGAGCTCTGATTTACTTGGCAGACGGAACTGCCAAACAAGGCACAAATATCTCACAGCTGTTACTGTAGATGGCAGCTTATTGGTCAAAACCATGTTGCCAACGCAGTCAAGACAAGCAAAACTGCCTTCTAAACAGCTATTGCAGCAACCCGTAATGTCACCTGCCAGGGCTGTGTGCGCCGGGCTGCTGAACCTACAGCCCATCCGTTTAAATTAGCAAAGCACAAACCATCGCACCCAATTAGGCACAATCCGACCTCTGAGTCAACTGAAAAGAGATTATGTTTTTTATGCACAGCATCTTAAACAACTCTGTGCAGGCAGCCTGGGTTAATTAAGGCTTTGTTTAGCCACCGGATTGAAAAATGTCAGTAAATAGGGAATGAACGTTCTGGCTTGGAGAGGCCAATTAAGGGAGTTAGTCCAAGAGTGAGTCCTAGGAACAAAGAGTTTGGGCTGAGCTGAGGGTCGGTGCCACGTCAGTGAGCAAAGATGAGAGTGAAAACCAGTACAAGGGTCCCAACGTCCGGGCATGGCCAGCTGCAGACTTCTACTGCTCCCACGTCCACAGATCTCCTCTGCCTTCCCTCCTCCCTCTAGTGCCAGCTCCCCTTCCCTTTCTTCCCCTACAGCTCCCACCACCCCACTTCTTCCCATTGCCCTCCCCTTTGCCTCCAGATTCCAGCAGCACTTCCTCCTACTCCCTGGCAATGTCTGCCCCAACCTGGTGCAGCCTCTCTGTGCCCTCCCACTACAAGCTCAGACTTCTTCCCACGCTGCCACCCTCCCTTCCTCTGCCCCAAATTGTTCCCAGGTGTGCAGATCACCCCAACTGCCATGGTCATGCCAAACCAACCTCCCCCACCCCCTCCCGGGCTTGCCCTAAATTGGTCCTTCGTGCATGCTCACTCTCGTGAGATCTTTCCCCAAACCCGCCCCCCACTATGTTTTCCCCGTACACTGGCCCTGTGTAAACATCCCAAACTCCTCCTCCTCATGATCTCACCCTAAAGCACTGTACCCCTCAAAGTGCTCCTCCATTGATGCCCCCCTAAACCCAAACATGCGCTCCCACTAAAACACTCCAATTTAAAATCAACCCTAATTTTGAAATTGTGAATGAAAAGAAGAAAGTTATTAATATTATATTCCTGAGAGAGGTGAAAAACGTATAATAAAAAAGGGAGGAAAGAGATAGATAATAAGACAGAAAATATCATATTGCCTCTATATAAATCCATGGTACGCCCACATCTTGAATACTGTGGGCAGATGTGGTCACCCCATCTTAAAAAAAGGTATCTTGGAATTGGAAAAGATTCAGAAAAGGGCAACAAAAATGCTTAGGGTTATGGAATGTCTGCCATATGAGGAGAGATTAATAAGACTGGGACTTTTGGGCTTGGAAAAGAGACAACTAAGGGGCAATATAATAGAGATCTACAAAATCTTGACTGGTGTGAATAAGGAAGTGTTATTTATTCCTTCTCATAACACAAGAACTAGGGGTCACCAAATGAAATTAATAGGCAGCAGGTTTAAAACAAACAAAAGGAAGTATTTCTTCACACAACACATAGTCAACCTGTGGAACTCCTTGCTCAAGGATGTTGTGAAGGCCAAGACTATAAGAGGGTTCAAAAAAGAACTAGATAAGTTCATGGAGAATAGGTCCATCGATGACTATTAGCCAGGATGGGCAGGGATGGTGTCCCTAGCCTCTGTTTGCCGGAAGCTGGAGTGAGCGACAGGGGATGGATCACTTGATGATTACCTGTACTGTTCATTCCCTCTGGGACACCTGGGACTGGTCACTATCAGAAGACAGGATACTGAGCTAGATGGACCTTTGATCCCATTTCACCATGCATTCTTACGAAACAGCTGGCACAAACACTAATCATTGTCTGCATTGGGATACATTTTCTCATTGGAAATATAGTTGAAGGTGTTCTTTTTAAAAACAGTAATCGTTTTATGACAGTCATTTTTGTAACTTGTTCTAAAGGCATAAAAACTAGTGGGCAGCTCTGAAACATATTCACCATCACAGGAAGCGTATTGGAGGGCCCAACTCTCCTGAGCCCCAATTCCATGTCATAGCCAAAGGCGATGGTGTGAAACAAACACAGCAGATCATGTCATCAGAGACTGTACCATTCACAGGGCCCTGTAGAAGTCTTCCACTCTTACTGGCAGCATAGACAGGAGAGCAAAAAGATGAGACTTGGTTTTTCTGGACAGCAATGTGGTTAAGTAAATGAGATTTCTCAGTTGTGGTAGAGCCCTGGGATCCAGCAGGAGCTCTGCCAGGAGGGTTACTGTGCAGGCCTCAGATCCTGATACCTCATCTGTAAAATGGGGGGAATGAACCCCTAGTTCTTGCTCAGTAATAGGGGCTGTGAGCAATTAACACGAATCACTCAGACAGGTGAGACTTGGGGCCCCAGGCAGCCTTGGTGCCATGCTGAGATAGTGTCACTTCAGCTCCAGGCCAGGCTGCAGCGATAGCAGCAGCACACGTCCAGGGGTGTTTATTTTGTCTCTCATTTTGTGATTTCGCCTCCATTTCTGTTAAACAGCAACTAAAAGAGCGATGACCTGAAGTGGCTTTCTGAGCAACAAGCATGGACCTCCCATTGACTTTCAGTGAGGCTCCGGGCTTGTCTATACGGTCAGTTAGCCAGTGCCAAGCTGGGGTGTGAACCTACAGTCACTAGCCTGCCGCACACTGTTGGTCTGCAGCCTCCTACCGTGCTTTAAAGTGTGCACCGACCCACTCTCTTTCAAAGTGGAGCAGATCGAGCCCTGACGCTTCCGGTGGGGAGTCACTTTTGAAAATGGGATTTAGGCCTAGCAAAGCCTAAATACCGTTACAAATCTCAACTTCCTGCCTTGGAGAGAGGCTGGACTCTGACCTTGGGAGACCAGGAGCAGGAACTAATTGGGAAGAACGTGTAGGTTGCAATCTTCTTCCTTAAACAACACCACAGGAGGATTTGCAAATCACCTGAGAGGTACAGAGCCTGGTTACAAGAACTTTCTGGGGGTTGGTATACAAGGAGCTGTCGATTTTAAAGAGTGAAAGAGAGACAAGCATTTAGAAAGATGGCAAAGACCAAAAATATTTTATTAACCTTTGAGTTGTGATTTTTAGTATAAACAATCAAAAGACATTTGAAATTCAAAACTGTATAATTCCCCTTGAGTATATTTTGGACCATAGAAAAGTTAATACAATTTTAAATTAAAAGAATAAAAACATTCTTGTACTCTTTGTATAAAAAGATCTTTCAGAAAATGTATCACAGGTTTCTTTTTAAATCATTGCTCTAGTAGTTTCATTTACATTTTTGGACTTTTTTGAAGGAAACACAATAAGCTGGGTTCAGACAAACAACCACTGCTCTCCCCTGATGGGTGAAGACAGACTATAAACACTGCTCTCCCCTGATGGGTGAAGAAGACATTTTTACATTGGGTCTGAAATTCAAAAGAGAGAGAGGGCTGTTAGTGCTGAGTTAGGCAGAAAAAACAGCAAATAGGGCAGAAAGACCATTCTGCTACCTTCCCTACAGGTCTTCAGTGCACCCATCCACCCAGGTTTCAGCAAAACACCTGATAGTTTGACAAAATTCCGATTGAAAAATTAGTTTGAATTTGAAATAGATTAAAAAACCCCACACTCCTGTGGCCTAAAAACTGGAGAATGAGAAGTTAATGATATGAGGGGCTGTGTCTAGAGGCTAGAGGGCTGATGTTATAGCCAATCACTTTAAACAGCTTCATCTCATGATCTGGAGAAGGGCGTAAACACTAATTTGATTTGCAGATACCACTAAACTGGGAGGGCTGAACCATGTAAACAGAAATAACCCCAAGAGACCTACAGAGATTAGCAATGTGGGCAGGAAGTAACAATAGAGAACGCCACTTTGAAAAATGCAAAGTAGGCATCTGGGGGTAAATACACCTCTACCTCGATATAACGCCACCCGATATAACACGAATTCGGATATAACGCGGTAAAGCAGCGCTCCAGGGGGGCGGGGCTGCGCACTCCGGTGGATCAAAGCAAGCTCGATATAATGCGGTTTCACCTATAACGCGGTAAGATTTTTTGGCTCCCGAGGACAGCGTTATATCGAGGTAGAGGTGTAAATCAAATATTCCGTGGGAGCCATTGGCTTCCCTAGCACAGGGAGGCACTGGCCATCTTTAACTTAGGGCCAGATTTTTAAAGGTATTTAAACACAAAGATGTAGGTAGGCACCTTGGAAAATCCTACTAGTTATCTAACTCCCATTGATTTCAATGGCACTAGTCCTGAGGGCACGTTCTACCCAGTGCGACTAAGGGGTCCAGAACTGGGCCCACATGTCAGTATCTCACAAGCTGTTTCTCAGAGAAATAAACATACTGAGATGCCTTAACAGCATTTTTTAAAAAAGAGTTCTTGTCTGTCTTTTGTATTTTTCAGGTGACCTTTCCTCAAGATCAAGTTTTACTTTTCCAGAGTATTAGATGCACTGTTTAAAAAATATTGTTATGCTGTTTCTGTCGTGAGTGAGAATCAGTACAGAATTGACACTTGTATGTGACTGATTTGAAAGTTGTCAATATATTTCTAACTAGGCAGAAAACTGTAAAACTCAATTTTTCGAGGGCTGGCATAAAAGCATGAGTGTTTCCAGCGGCTAAGCGTATTACTGTATTAACTATTAAGTGTATTAACACCGCTGACAGTCATTGAAAAAGTCAATCTAACCCTAAACGTTTATCTACTTTAGGACATTTTCAATATTACTCTGTTGTTAGACAACATGTTACAGCTAAAATAAGGGGTGTCACATATGCAGAGACTCTAATACACAGTAGTATAAGAGGCTACATGTAAATCTAGGATTGCAGAAAAGATAGGATATGATATTGTATTTGGAAAATACAGTAGGACTTGATGTGGTTAACGACTGTATCAATGTATATGCACAAGGGGGCAGAGCTAGGGTTGCACAGGCAATTGTCACTTCCTCACTTAAGTGCTTAACTGTGCAACCTTAGTGACATTTTCCTAACATGGGTCCATCTCCAGGATTTTAAAATTCCACTTCCAAAACACCTGCAAGAAACTTGTGTTTGTTCTATAACCCTGAGCTATTTGGCTGGGTGCCCTCTGAATGCTGACATTCTTCTCTGAAACTACCAGAATCCAGCTGGCTTGACCGAGGGCTGCCAGCTGCTGAGAACACTTAGTCAATATTCCTTCTGACGCTCCTGGTATAACCTGGGTGTGCCGGGATGCTGGGAGAGGGGGCGCTGCCTGGAGATCTACAGGGAGCTTTGGGGCATTTTGCAGGAGAAGGGGCCTACTTAGGGGGACCAGATGTCCCGATTTTATAGGGACAATCCCGATTTTGGGGGCTTTTTCGTATACAGGCACCTTTTACCCCCCACCCCCTGTCCTAAATGTTTGCTATCTGGTCACCCTAGGCCTACTTAGCTGAGTTCCTCACCCGCACTGGAGCAGGGGCCCTGCTGCTGTATCAGAATTCAGGAACTCCACTCGTCAGACACCTTTTCCATTTGTGTCTCCAAAGCCAGTTAGCAGCCAATGAAACATTTCAAAGCCCGCAGGAGACTTTACAGCCACTTTGATGTTCAGGTTCCTAAGCTCTGTCATCTAGCTGTGCTCCCATGGAGTTTAGCAGCACCTCAAGTTTCAAGAACTCACCCTCCTACTGAGCTAGTCTTGCTAGGCCCTCGGTTTCGGGAACTGATTTGGAGCAGTCACTGGACTAAGATGTTTAGGGCCAGATTTCAGAAGCATTCCAGTGTTCTCCTTTGGAGGGACAGGATCCTCCATTGTTCATGGGGAGCTGTTTGGTACAAACCCATTTTGAAAGTCTGACTTGGAGCATGTGGCTAAGTTGGCTACACCCTTCCTAGGATATGTACTTAGCAAAAAGAAAAAAAATGTATTGCATGTGCTCAAAACCCAGTTTTCAAATGCTCAGAACATCAGGGTTGGAAGGAACCTCAGGAGATCATCTAGTCCAACCCCCTGCTCAAAGCAGGGCCAATCCCCAGACAGATTTTTACCCCAGATCCCTAAATGGCCCCCTCAAGGATTGAACTCACAACCCTGGATTTAGCCAATGCTCAAACCACTGAGCTATCCCTCTGCCCAGCTGAGCTATCCCTTCCCCCAAATGAAAACCTTTTTCCTCCCTAACAAGGCCAGATACTCCTGCTCTCTGAGGGATAACCCCATGCCAAATTTCAGTTGTCAAACCTCAGCCAGTTCAGCTCTAAGACTTAAAAAATATTGTTTGTCTATAATTGAGAGTGGATTTTTTTCTAATTCTCTGGGTGCTCAGTCTTGCAAAAAACTTGTAAACCAAAGCTGCAGAATTTCAGTCTGAAAGGTGAAAGTTTCAGAAACACGGGTGCCTGTGAACAGGGGTGTGTAAAGGTGCAACCTTAGCTTAGTAGACACTGCTGCTACACCTGTAATGGCAGTATATAAATCAGGGGTAGACTCTCCCTGCAGTACTGTGTTCAGGTTCAGCCAGGCCATCTGAAGGATAGAGCAGAAAAAGGCCACAGAAGAGCAATTAAACCTTCAGAGGCCTGGAAGGATTAGGAGGTAAAAAAGAGGTGACGTGGTAAAAGTATCTCAAGTGACTAATAGCCCAGAGAACATCAGCCAGACCCTCCTGTTTACCCTCTCGGAAATGCAAGAACCAGGGGAGACCCAAGGAAATTAAAATACAACAAAGTTTAGACTAACCAAGACTTGTTTTTACACAACACAAAACCAACCTGTGGGACTCTATGCCACAAGATATCATGGAGATTGAGAACGTATTAGGAGCTCTTTTAAAAACAGACATTTATATAGATAATAGCTGCATTTCCACGAGTTACGCTAAAAGTGTATATGGGGTGAATCAACCCGTGTCTGCCAGGAATTAGGGAAACACTTTCCCAGTGAGGAATGATGGTTTTTGGCCATTCCTCTGAAGCATCTGGGACTCGCCTCTGTCACAAACAGGACACTGGCCTAGATGGCCCCAAGTCATCGCCAGCCTGGCCATTCCTATGTTTCAGTGGTCTAACTGTGTGGCTGGCCAACATGGCAGGGGCCAAGCAATGCTGGAACGGTGAAAAACCTGGCCGTGAGGCCAGCATAGACTGAGCTAACAAGGGAAGAACCTGGCAATGGCTGAAGCAAGAGCTATGTCGAGAAGAACACTTTAGATGCTTCTGCTGTAAGTGGAGCTGCCCTCCAGGCTATTGGAGACGCCCCTGAGAAGTGTGTGTGTTTTCGGGAAGGCCCACCCAAGACTGCCCAAGCAGCATTGGAGAAGAATCCAGTGTCTCTGTTGCACTGACGAAGTGGTCGGGAACACCACGGTCTCTAGCACATGCTTGAGAAGGAAGGGAAACGTTGGGTGGCGGGTGGGAAGGTGGGGGTCAGACGTACTCCCTAGCTGTTGAAGGCTGTGACTGCCTATAGTGCTGCTGTCCTCTCCTCTCCTCGGTGGGGGTGGGGCAGGAGCAGCTCAGGAAGGAGCCCCCCAGCATGGTCAGGCTGGCAGCCGCCCAGCCAACAAACAAGGCAGAACCAAATTCATACCTAGTGCGAGAGAGAAAAGAGACGGTGGAAACAAGGGAGACTGGTGCTCCACCCCTCTGTCGGGGGCTGGGAGGGAAAGGGACCCCATGCCCATACACCGACACCTCACCCAGACGCCCCACTTGGGCACATATGTAGAACGTGGCCCTCTGTCTCTATTGGGAGGAATGCTTTCATCCCTTGAGGCTGATGGAGCACTGGGCATTACAGAGAGGAAGACAGGCCAGACAGGTTCCAGAGCCAGCACCCGCTGATGGACTGATTTCAATAACGTCTGGAGGTGGGGGAGGGAACCGGGCGTATTCAACATTTTCACACGTCACAAATCCCAAGCAATATGAAGGGGAAGGGGAAGAGACCCGCCTGGTCCCCTGCTGTACGATTCCCCTGGCGGGAGTGGTGTTGACAGCACAGGCGGTGACCTGGATGGCAAACTAAGGGAATTCACAGCTGACATTAGATCAGGGAGAGCTGCGAACCCCAGTGAGGACAGAGAGGGAGACGCTGCAGAGAACAGCAACAAAAGATCCCACCCAGGGAAACACAGCTAACCCCTCCAGGGAAATAGCAGCTGAAACATGGATACAGTGAGTGACAGGAAAAGGACCATTCGGGCTTCCGAGGTCCAAGGGAGAATCAGGGCAGTGGCTCTGGCAGGAGGTTGCTGCTGGTAGAACAGGGGCTTGTTTGACAAAGTGACTGAGTCTCCTGGAGAATATATGGGGGCATATTGGCAGGGGGCTGGCACTGCTGGGGCATGGACAGAGGGGCAATAGCACCAGAGGAGAGCGTAGGGTCCTGTGAGCCACGGACTGGCTCTGGCAGGAAAGGACAGGGCAATGCAGGGATAATGCCGTGTGTACTGTTTCTTTAAATTTGTATCAGGAGGTTAGGGAGGAGTGGGGCTGAGGCAAATGGGCACCAGATGGCACCATGGGCAGGGGCACGAGGCTCTGAATACAATGCCCGAGGCTGGGTACCTTTGTCACATTGCCACTAATGAGCTAAAACACAAGGAAAATGGCTTCCCCCTAAACAGCCCATTTATTTAAAGGAGCTTACCGGGCATTAACTGGAGTGTTGGGGTTGAAGAATTCATAGGTCACCTGTGTTGCATACCATGACACAGCTGTTAAGGTGCACAGACCTGGGAATTACAACAAGAACCAAAGAATCAGCATCCGGAGGCCTCTTGGGGATGTTTTCCCACCATCGACTTTACAATTTAATACAGTCATTCGCTTTTAAAAGATATTTGAGTCCTTTAATATTCTATTCTTCACATCCTCTGTGGCTAAGAAGTTCCATTGGTAACACTAAATTGGACTCTCAGGGCTCGTCTACAGAGGACAACCATGACCCAAAATGACAACACTGGTTTCATTCACACCTTTTGTTATTTCGGTGAAAGTTGGTACGCAGACCCATCATTACACATGTAATATGAGGCAGGAAGGAACTTTTCAATAAAGGGCTAAAACCATCACCAGGTTGCTTAGAAACAAGGAAGCAGATTCTAAGAGGCAGCTAGTCAGATAGGAGTAACAGGTAGTTAATGTGACAGGGCTAAAATATGCTTTCAGTTTACATACGTGAATAAGAACATAAGAACGGCCATACTGGGTCAGACCAAAGCCCAGTATCCTGCCTTCCGACAGTGGCCAATGCCAGGTGCTTCAGAGGAAATGAATACAACAGGTAAGCATCAAGTGATCCATCCCGTGTTGCCCATTCCCAGTTTCTGGCAAACAGAGGCTAAGGACACCATTTCTGCCCGTCCTGGCGAATAGCCATTGATGGACCTATCCTCCATGAACTTATCTAGTTCTTCTTTGAACTGAAATTAGCTGAGTTACTCCATGTGGAACTGGGACCAGAATTTGGACCGCCATTTTAAGAGACAAGATCCCTTTGAAGCAGGAATAAATATAAAGGGGCAAAACTGTCAAATTAGTTCTCTTTCCTGTTGCGAAATGCTCTAAACAAAGAGGATCCCAGACTAGAAGAAGGTGTTTTGTCCCTCCTGTTCTTAGGGACAGCTTTCTAACCTTGGGAAAGAAGTGAATCTTTTCCAGACTGGATTCAGAACAGGACTGAGCACAGATTTGGACTCTGCAGGCATGGCAGAATATTCATTCTAAGAACACCTGGACCTTCGCTGAAATTGTTAATGGGAAATCATCGCTTATAAGGGACATTTCTAGTGGGTTCCATCGGGACCCGTTCTTGGCCCAATGCTGTTCACTTTCTTTATCAATGTTCTGGAAGAAAAATGAGGTTTGCAGATGACACAAAGGTTGGTGGGTTGGTAAATAATGGCAAGGATGGGTCAATGATACAGACCAACCTGATCGCTTGGTAAACTGGGTGCAATTAAACAACAACATTTAATACAGCCAAAGGCAAAAATCATAGAATCATAGAATCTCAGGGTTGGAAGGGACCTCAGGAGGTCATCTAGTCCAACCCCCTGCTCAAAGCAGGACCAATTCCCAACTAAACCATCCCAGCCAGGGCTTTGTCAAGCCGGGCCTTAAAAACCTCCAAGGAAGGAGACTCCACCACCTCCCTAGGTAACCCATTCCAGTGCTTCACCACCCTCCTAGTGAAATAGTGTTTCCTAATATCCAACCTAGACCACACATCTAGGAAACAAGAATGTAGGTCAGACTTCTATGGTTGGGGAATTGTGTCCTGGAAAGCAGAGACTCAAAGTGGGTCATGGTGGATAGTGGAGCTAAAAGGGCTAACATGATCCTTGGATATATAAACAAGAGAACATAAAGCATGAGTAGGAGGAGTTATTACCACTGTATGGGGCAGGAAAGAGGCCATTATTGGGCACTGGCCAGTTCTGGTATCCTGTTGTGATAACTGGGCCTACACATTTACCCTAATTGCGAGTTTAACTGTAAGAAGTGAATGTAGGTTTGTCAGATGTCACCATAACCTGTAACAACAAATGCTGACAGGGAAAAGTAGGGGACGTTATTTTCAGTAAAGAATCTTATAAACAGGTGCAAGAAAACGAGACAGAGACTGAATTAGTCCAAGCAAAAAGGCCTCCAGATATAACCCATGTGTTGAGATCATGCCTAGTAGACAAGAAAACCTGGGTCTGAAAATTAATGAACCAAAATCGGTGCGTCAGAAACCAGACCTAATTGGTGGAAGAAATAATGAGCGGATAGGCTATTCTGCCCACCATTCACATTTTGTTCCTTACAAAGACTTCGGGGGGATGGGGGGAAAGAACAGATGGAGCTATCAAAGCAAGCTTCACCATCCTGGCTGCCACCCCATCATCTCCTGGGACCTCTGGCCTAATCCTGAGAGATGTCCTGACCTGACTGGGCCAGAGAGAGGGACCCGGACAACACTGCCACCTCTACTGGCTCCAGGTGAATCCCAAACACCACCTGGGATGAAATAGGATCAGACTTTAACAACAACCCAACACTGGTCCTGCAGCAGCATCCAGCCTGGTCTCGGGTATCATTTCTTATTACATTAGTGTCTAGCGGACCTAGACATGGATGCAGGGCCGGCTCCAGGCACCAGCCTAGCAAGCAGGTGCCTGGGGTGGCCAATGCAGAGGGGCGCGGCACGTCCAGCTGTTCGGCGGCGGGGCCGTCACTCCCTCTCGGAGCGAAGGCCCTGCCGCCGAATTGCCGCCGTAGAATGAAGCGGCAGTAGAGCTGCCGCCGCTTGCGAACACGGTTCTTTTTTTTTTTTTTTCTTGCTTGGGGCGGCAAAAACGCTAGAGCCGGCCCTGCATGGATGGTTCTATTATTCTAGGCACTGTATAAACACATAACAAAGAGGTGGTCCTGCCCCAAAGAGCTTTCAATCCAAGTTACAAGTTCGTAGCCAGGGGCCTCATCCGTACATAAATCAGGGATGGAATTAACTTTACTAATTCTCCACCTTGCACTGAACACTTTCAACCAACAAGCAGGATCACTGGTAGCAGAAGATGCTATTTTTCTGAGGGAGAACCCATGACAAAGCCAAAAGAATCAAGATGAAACATCCCAGCATTGGCTGGCATCAGCCCGTTTCAGTGCTGGGCCTCCCACCTTAGCCGAGAGGCAGGTCTGATGCACCTGTGCTAAACTGCTGTGGCTACATGGGCTTTCAGCTGAGCCAGTGCGCCCTGGAGAAGCCAGCCGGCTCCATTAGACACAAGTGCCACTTATCCAAACCCCACCCCCTTGTCTTACAGTCTTCCACATCTCCCAGAGTTAAAACAAGAGGCCCCCTTTTAGAACCACTGGGTGGGCTGGATAGGCGGATTTCAGATCCCTGAGGCCACACTGCTATACCCACCTGTGCTCAGAAGTTGTATCTACAGGCATAGCCTCTACTAGAAATAGAGGAGGATGTTTATTAACTCTCTGCTTGAGATCACACTCTCCCTCCCAAGGGCAATAACTCACGTAAACTTTGAGGCTACCTGCCCATTCAGAAGCTGTGACGAGTCATCAGATCCCCTGCCCCATGGTAGTGCTAACCAATATTACAGCAGGCAAGTTCAGACTATCATCAAATGGCGGGAGTTTGTGGGTACAGGGAGCCCCGGACTTTGGCTTACCTGCTATGAGGAAGAGGACGCCACCGGCCATAGCAATCCGGCCTTTGACAACAGGGTTCTCGTCCCCCACTTTGGTACATTTCATTCCCACCACGCTGACAATGACCCCCACAAAGCCCATGAGGATAGAAACCACCATGAGTGCCCGGGAGGTCTGGAGGTGAACTGCAAAGCAAGAAAAGTGCAAGTCACTGGTGCTGCAGAGCAGATTAACCATGCAAAGAACCAGAGCCAGAGAAGAGAAGGGTCAACAAGACCAGCACCCCAGGGAATAACAGTGCCTCCAATGCTCTCACCTCCTAAGTCCCCGCACTGGTGAGTGCAACTATTTGTGTCCCTAGGTAGCAGTTCTGAGGTGCCCAGCAGTCCTTCCCGGGGCCATATTGCCTTGTGGCATCTAAAGAGCCATTCCCCCAGGTTTGCTGCCCTGTGGCACTGAGGAGCTATTCTGCACCAGTGGTACCATCATGGCCCATCCTGGAGCTGTTCTCCGCCGATCAGGTCACTTCACAAGCACCTGGATCCTTCCTTACCAGCCACGCTGCTCTCTGGAGTCCAGAATCCAACCCCCACTCATCAAGCTCCCAGCCCAAAGTGGGGGCTTTGGAGGCTGAGGGGGAGGATTTAGCCTCAGGCATTGTGACCAGATGCAGTTCCCCCTCCTAGAATCATAGAATATCAGGGTTGGAAGAGACCTCAGGAGGTCATCTAGTCCAGCCCCCTGCTCAAAGCAGGACCAATCCCCAACTAAATCATCCCAGCCAGGGCTTTGTCAAGCCGGGCCTTAAAAACCTCCTCTCCTCTCCTCGGGTCGCTCCAGTACTGGAGCGCAGCTCTGCAGAGAGGCCCCCATCCCACATCAGAGCACAGACACGTCCATCAAACTCCTCAGTCTTCTAAAGACACCGGAGCTGATTTCTTTCACAACAGGTGTCTTTAGTGCAACCTTCACTGGGAGCGTTTGCTCTGCCCTCCCTCTCCCCCGCTCGGTGTCGCTGGATGGTTTCCAGGGGGATATTTCCATTTTCTTTGATAATAGTTGGGTATCGGGTGGAGCCCCCATGCAGGAGGAGAAAGACAACTTTCCTAATGTATTATCCCTTATTCCCTTCCATTCTCCCCCTTTCCGTGTCTACAGCCCATTCATTACCCTGCCCCCTTACGCGCAGGGTGAGGATCAGTGGGGCCAGCTGGCCACTTCTGTCCTAGGAGCATCTGCTAGTGGTGAATGCTCTAGAAACCTGCAGTGATCAAACACACACACACTGGCACAGGGGCTGGATTGGGACGCCCACTTCTCAGTAACCTTAACTCAGTTTCGTGTCTAAACCCCCTAAGCAGCTTTGAAAATCTCGCTTTAGAAAGGCAGAATTAAGCCTTAGGCTGCAGCCCTCTTGGAATAAAAAGGCCCCTGAACTTGCGCAGTGTGACCCGACCCCGGCCATCTTCCAGCCCCGCTCTTGTGGTTGCTGTCACACGGGCTTTGCTGTGCGGGGGCGGGGGTGTAGCAAAGGCTGTTCTGGGACAGTGCCGCGGGAGCGGGTTGTTCCAGACACTCCCTGTGTCCCGCGAGCCCAGCGCGCAGGGCTTTAGCCCCGGTTGTTTTGAACACCGATAAAGTGGGGTCGATTTTCAAACCTGCCCGAGTCAGGTGGAGAGAAGGGGGCAGGGGGGGTCACGAGCCGCGAATGTGGCCTAGAAAACAGGTGATGGACGGCAGCGCCGATCGGTGGGGAAGGAACCGCAGGGGCTGAGTTAGTTAAGGCTGGAATTGGGGGGATGAGGGGGGGATCGGCTCCAAGTACTTTCTGTCCACTTGGGAGCTCAGAAAAGATGGACAAGTTTGGGGCATGGCCCATGGTCTTCACTGGCCATTGTGTGAGACAGAAACGGGGACATGGGCAAGGGCGACCAGACAGCACCTGTGAACAACGGGACGGGGTGGGGGGTAATAGGCGCCTATATAAGAAAAAATCCCCCAAACGGGACATCTGGTCACCTAGCAAGGGCAACAGCTTCGGCTGTAGATTGCGGGGTCACTCCTGGAGAGGCCCCAGGCCACCACACGAGCTCAGGCCGACGCATGAACGACTCCCCTCGGCTGCTCAGTCGCTCGTTGGCCGCCAGCCCGTTTCCAGGTGCGGGGCGGGGAAAGGCGCCGGGATGCGATGCGAACCCAGCGCGGAGCTGGGCGCCCAGGACTCGCCCTGCCGCGTTTGAAGGCTGCAGGACACGGCGATGTAATGGGGGGACAGGACGAAGTCCTGGTCGCGGTTGCCCAGTGCCCGGAGCTGCTCCGGAGCGTGCTCGGCGAGAGGAGCCGCTTCCGCTCGCCAGGGCTCAGCCTGGGGCTAACACCGGCCTGAAGCCATCCCGGGGCAGCCTCCTATCCCGCAGCCCGAAAACCGGGCTGGAAAATCCCGCTCCGGGGCAAAAGCGAGCGACCAGGAGAACCCGTGTCCGGCGAGTTCCCGCTGGACGAAGTGGCCCGTGTCCGGTTGCACGGGGGACGCTGACAAGCGGGATGTGAACCACACCCCGGGGGAAGCTCTGCTCGGCTCTGACTGCGGCCCTCCCCCCGCGGCCTGTTTTCACCCGTTTTCCTTCTGGTCTCGCCCTGTACCAGGCGGCGGGCGCCGCTGAACAGGCGAAGGAAGGAGACCCCGGGCAAGGGCTGCGAGTTACCGGGATCCGAGAAGAATGTGCGGACTCGCTCCTCTCCCGCAAACCAAACTAATCCCACCTCCCAGCTGGCTTCCAATCTCCAGCCGCTCCCAGCAGCGCAGGCCGGATTTGTTGGGTATTTTTAAGCCCAGGCTTGTGTCAGGGACTCGGGAACAATTAGTTTCAATTCTTCTCGTTTAAACAAATAGCTCGTTTCCATTGTAAACCTGGCATCTCGCTGGCTCCTAGGAAGGGGTCTGCGATTTCCCCCGCTAAGCGGCTGCTGTGGGCCAGTCTGAGCTGTTCATTCGGTGCTTTGAAAAGAGTAAAGGGTAACAGTGGGTAACTGTTTGCCGTGTTATAACCGTGTAATTAACTCCCGCTGGAGCCCAAGCAACTCCCCCCTTTCCTTGCACGCTAGGGGCTTGGCTACCCTGAATGCTGGTGCGGCGCGCAGGGCTGCAGCTGTGCCGTGTCGACCCTCCCTACACCGCCAGGAGGCGTCTCCCGTCAGAGGAGCCGCCTCTCCGCAGGCGGTGGTCTGAAGAATTCTTCCTTCGATCTCGCGCTGTCTATACCACGGTTAGGCCGGCATAGCCACGTCTCTCGGGGTGTGGCTTTACACAGCCACGCCGATGTACATTCCCAGTGGAGACCAGCCGTAGGATGCTGGGGCCGAAGCGCAAAACCCAGCCTGTGCCAGAGGCGAGAGGCAAAGGGACCGGGTCCGGCGCTTTCTGAACTAGAACAAAGTCCCCAGCCAGGCCGAGCTTTTCGCTTCCCTGTTTCAGGGGCTGATCTGGGCACCAGCTACATTTTGTGTCCGTCAGTCCGTCCGCCCGCCCCAAGATCTCTTCGGGCCCGCGGTGAATGCAGATGAAAGGGGAGATTTGGCATTTGAGCTCAGCCAGGCAGGTCTGACCAGGGGAAGGTTTGGGGTAGTCTCTGCTCCTGGCTGTGCCATAGACTCCCATAGGTCCAGGTGCTCAAAGGTGTTTAGGCACCTAACTCCCACCGTGGGTCTTTGGGGGTCTGGGCCTCAGTTTCCCATCTCTACCCTGGGGATAACCGCCCTGCCCTGCCCCCCAGGGGTGTTGTGAGGACAAACCCATTAGTTGAGGGGCGGTGCCGGGACACTGCGGAGATAGGGGCAATACAGGCACATGTCAATCTACCCCCCCCCCCCATTCCCTACGCCGCCGGGGGACCCGCCCCCTCGGCTTCCTCCAGCCGCTTCAGGGTCAGGCTCCCTAAACCTGCGCTTCCCCCCGGGGATAACAACTCCTTGCTCGGGGGCTGCTCTCCATGGCAGGGAGCGCGCCGCAGGGACCTGGCACCCAGGGCCAGTCCTACCCGGGCAGCGAACCGCGGGGGCCTGCCGCAGCCACCGGCCAAGCAAACAAGCTGCCGCCGCCCCAGCCTGGCAGGTCCATAAAGGTCCCCCCGCGCCCCCAGCCGCACCCCCACCTGCCCGCGGGCTCTGAGCGGCGCTGGCCCGGCCGGCAGGGCTGTATGGCGCGCCGGTCCCGTTCGCCCCGGGGCTCCCGCCGGACCCCTGCCCGCTCCAGCTCGCTGCCCCCGGTGGCCAGAACACGATGTCCGGCGGGAGCGGCCGGGCACGGGACCTGGGCTGCACCTGCACGGAGCGCCCCTTTTCCCTTCTCCCGGAGCGCCCCCCGGCTCCCGCCCGGCCCTTGCCCCGCGCCCCTTGCCCGGCCCGGCGGGGACGCACCGTCCAGCGATAGCAGCGAGTCGTGCAGCTTGCACTGGACCTGGCCCGTGCTCTGCGAGGCGCAGCTCATCCACAGCCCCTCGTACAGCCCCACGGCCGTGATGATCGCGTCCCCCGCGTACGAGCTCTGCTTCCACTGGGGCAGCGCCGCGCTGCAGATGGTGCCGACCCAGCCGCCCAGCGCCAGGAAATACCCCAGCAGCTGCAAGCCGGCGTTGGCCATGGCGAATCCCTCGGGCACTGGTCGCCGGAGCCCAGGGGCAGGCGGCTCCGTGCTCCCTGCCCAGCCCGGCGCTGCGCTGCGCGGAGCCCCCGACCGCCCCGATGGGGGCGGGCAGCAGCGCGGCGGTGCCAGGGGGCCGCCCCCGCAGGGCAGGAGCCGGCCGGCGCTGCCCGCACCGCCCCGAACCGGCCGCGGGGCGCAGAGTGGCGGGGCCCGGCCCTGGGGGCGGTCAGCGGCTCTGCAGCCGGGGTGGGACCTGCCCGGCCCCGCTCCCGGGCTGGGGCACAGGGGAGGGGGCGCTGGGTCCTTACTGGCTTGTGAAAGGGGGAAATTAAACAGGAGCGTGGATGCCGGAGCCAGCTGCCCGCGCCCTGGGCCGGGGCTGCTGGGGGGAACCCCGCGGGAATGGGCTGTGATCGGCCCCTGACTGCCGGTGCTCCAGGGGCTGGTGCTGCCGGAGCTCAGCGGTTCCCTTCCGCCCCACAGCCAGGTGTGGGGAGGAAGAGGGAAGGAGCATTTCCCTCTCCCCCTTTCCTACACCTGCTCGCTCCCCTGAAAGAAGTGAGCCCTTCCCTTGCTGCACGCTCAGAGCCGCCTTTCGCTGACACGCCAGGGTTGACCGGGGACCCCCCAAAGGAAAAGCAGGAGCTGCTGCAGTGAGCGGTTAAGACATGGGGCTAGCTAGGCTACCAAGTTCCGGTGATGTACGGTCAGCTTACAGCCACTGGCGGTTTGTACGTCACTTAGGTGCACGCACACTTCTTGGGTGCTTCCACTAGCACTGCCTGTACTCACTAAGAATATGTCTACACAGCAACTAGACCTCCACTGCTGGGCCGATTCATTGCTGGGTATCAAGTATCAGGGGGTAGCCCTGTTAGTCTGTATCCACAAAAACAACAAGGAGTCCAGTGGCACCTTAAAGACTAATAGTTTTATTTGGGCATAAGCTTTCGTGGGTAAAAAAACCCACTTCTTCAGATGCATGGAGTGAAAGTTACAGATGGTAGGCTTCCAGGCTCCGACTGCATAGAATCATAGAAGATTAGGGTTGGAAGAGACCTCGGGAAGTCATCTAGTCCAATCCCCTGCTCAAAGCAGGGCCAATCCCCAACGAAATCAGCCCCAGCTCTGGGAACCTCCCACCCCACAGGGCCCTAGAGCCCAGCTGGAAGTCTACACAGCAATGAAACAGCCCCACAGCCCAAGTCAGCCGGCAAGGGCTAGGTGCGGTGTCTAGTTGTTGTGCAGATATACTCCACAAGGGCTTGCCTCACTGTAAAATATGGCGCACCATGGGTAGCTATCCCAGTATGCATTGCACCACTGGTTCAATGCCTTGTACCACATCTTTGCAGTGTTTTGTGGGATATCAGTGATTTGCCAAGGGATTTCTGGGAGCGAGGGGTCAAGTTTCCACCCTGCCACTTTCTCCAGCCCATAATTTTCATGCCATTTGTGAAAACTGCCACAGTTCCGTGCAATGCTGTTCGATCTCAGCCATCTGTCTGACAGGAGCAGGGACCCTGCCAAGTTCAGCGCACTTCTTACTAGCTCTAAGGAGCTGGGATTGTGATGAGAAAGATGTGGAAATGTTTGAGCCCGATAACTGGATGCTAATGGACACTGAAAAAAAATGCCAGATTGTAGCTGGCATTCACGGAGCAGCTACACACAGTGGGCTGCTGCTTCTGGGCCCAAGCAATGAACGCTGACTGGTGCAGATGTGGGACGACGAGCGGTGGCTGCAGAACCTTTGGATGTGAAAGGCCACCTTCCTGCAGCTGTGTGCTGAGTTCACCCCAGCCCTCCGGTACAGGGACACCAACATGCGAGCTGCAATGACAGTGGAAAGCTCTGGAAGCTATCGGTCAGTTTGGTGTTAGAAAATCCACCATGGGGGCTGTTGCCATTCAGCTGTGTAAAGCCATTAAGCTCTTCCGCTAGGCAGGACTGTGACTGTCGGTAATGTGCAGGAAACAGTGCATGGATTTTCAGCAATGGGGTCCCCTAACTGCAGTGGGGTGACAGCACACATATCCCAATTCTAGCACCAGCCCACCTTGCCCTGAGTATGTCAGCAGAACGGGATCCTTTTCCGTGGTGATGCAAGCACGGGTGATCACCAGGGATGCTTCACTGATATCAGTGCGGGCTGGTTTGCGAAGGTGTATGATGTTTGCATCTTTAAGAACACACGACTTTTCAAAAAGCTGCAAGATGGGATATTCTTCCCTGACCAGTGAATTACCATTGGCGATGCTGAAATGTCAATAGTTATTCTGGAGGACCCAGCCTACCCCTTGCTTCCCTGACTCATGCTGTAAACTGATCACCTCAACAGCACCAGGGAAGGATTCAGCTACCGGCTCAGCAGGTACAGATGGACGGTGGAATGTGCTTTTGGTAGACGGAAGGGACGCTGGTGGCATTTACTCACTAGATTGGATCTTAGTGAGAAAAACATCCCAGAGCTGTAGGTGCCTGTTGTGATATCTGTGAGGTGTAAAAGCCTCTGGCTATGAATTCTGCAGTGTTTGGTGTAAACTAATAAAGATACTCCAGGTTTCCAAAAATAGAACTTTATTGTATGTAAAGATGTAGGGAACAAATTTAAACTGCAGACAAATGCATACAAGGTTAAAAAACTTTTTTCAGACTGTAACAGGGTGAACCATACATTAAAATCTCAAGTGAAAATAGAAATAAACAGTGAACATTTATGTCCATGTATCTAAAAGCTACTACAGTGTAGTAGGCTACTTATACACTGGCCTGTGGTTTTTTACACAGCTATTGTTCTCCTTTTCGTTCGGCGTGGATTGGTAGGGGTAAGGCGGTATACTGCAGTGCCACATGGTATGTTGGGAGGTTGGGGTGTATGGAGCAGTGACCATGGGGTTCTCCAAGGACTGGAAAGGTGGCTGAGGCCAGGGTCTTTGGACATGTAGGTCAACAATGTTCTGCAACATTTGAGTCTGTTGCCTGAGCAAATCCAGCTGCTAGTGGTGTCCTGAAACTGACCATGCCCATATTCCACTAGCCTGTTGACTGCAATGATGCCAGCTGAATTCATCACAGAGTGGTGTGGGACAGGCCCAACAAGGAAAATAACAGAACACCACTGGCCATCACATACAGCTCCCAGCAAAATCCTCTCCAGCGCATTATCCACGATCTACAACCTATCCTGGAAAACGATCCCTCACTCTCACAGACCTTGGGAGGCAGGCCAGTCCTCACTTACAGACAGCCCCCCAATCTGAACCAAATACTCACCAGCAACTACACACCACACCATAGAAACAGCAACCCAGGAACCAATCCCTGTCGCAAACCCCATTGCCTACTCTGTCCCCATATCTACTCTAGCAACACATCAGAGGACCCAACCACATCAGCCACACCATCAAGGGCTCATTCACCTGCACATCTACTAATGTTATATATGCCATCATGTGCCAGCAATGCCCCTCTCCCGCGTACATTGGCCAAACCGGACAGTCTCTATGTAAAAGAATAAATGGACACAAATCGGACATCAGGAATGGTAACATACAAAAGCCAGTAGGAGAACACTTCAATCTCCCTGGACATTCTATAACAGAATTAAAAGTAGCCATACTTGAACAAAAAAACTTCAGAAACAGATGTCAAAGAGAAACTGCAGAACTAAAATTCATTTGCAAATTTAACACCATTAATTTGGGCTTGAATAGAGACTGGGAGTGGCTGGCTCACTACAAGAGCAGCCAGGGCTGGCCTTACCATGAGATGAACTGAGGCGGCTGCCTCAGGTGCCAGACTGTGGGAAGGCGCCACTAAGACCCAGAGTGTAGAAAATTGTGTCTGCTGCGGGTGCATATGTATTCTCTCTGCTCCAGATGCACAGAGATGGTGGAGTGCTGTGCTGGAGAAGGAGGGCACAAGAGACGTAACAGGCAGGCAGGAGAAGAGGTGAGAGGGAAGAACAGAAAGCAGCAGGAGCTGCAGGGAGAGAGAGGAGGAGGAACCTCTTATGTATCTCTCCGGCACCCCCAGGAGCCTGGACTGATTAACACCAGCTTCTCAGGGAGCTTCCGGTTTCCTGCTGCTTCCCTGAACCCACTTGAGGAGAACAGGCAGTCAACTGAAGCAGTAGGAGCCTGTTAGGCCCTTAAGACGCTGATATCTTCCCTCACTCAGGCCCTGCTACCAGCCTGAGTATTTGTCCCCTTCAATTGAGTGTTGAGAGAGACTCTAGCTGGCACAGAACAGCAGTCCTGAGTGAAAGAAGAAAACGCCCCTCTGGGGCAGCATTCAGAAAAAGAAAGAAAGCAAAAGAAGCTTTTCTATCTAAGCAGGAAGGAGCTCCCCTGAGATACACAGACACAAATGTTCACGCTGAGCCTTCCGGCCCCAGCGAGGATGTGAGTAGTGAGGAGACGCCTGAACTTCCAGTTAGTCAGAGTGCAGGTGACCTGGCAGCTACTGCAGCATCCATATCTCCATCTCAAATGGATGTAACCCTGCACATTCCTGAAGAAAAGTGTAGGTCAGAGAAGAGTGTGGTGGAGGCGCAAGAAACAGCTGCTGCTGAGTTTAGTTCCTTAAGTCTAGATGATCCAGGACTGTGGACCCACTTGAGCAGTAGCCTGAGGGACTTCCTTGTACTGCATGGGCCACAGCAAGTGAAAAACTTCGTGTTCCCCAAAGACAGTGAAAATAGAAGTTTCCATCCAACACATTACTGGCGTGAAATCCCCAATGGTGACAAAGTGGAGAGGCCATGGCTTATGCACTCAAAAATCCAGAATGCTGCATACTGTTTTTGTTGCAAACTCTTCCAGTCTAATGTTCCAGCCACATTGGGTTCTACAGGAACAAAGGACTGGAAAAATCTGGCTAGAAATCTGGCATGCCATGAGAAGGCAGCAAATCACTAGAGAGCATTCCATAGGTGGAAAGAGCTTGAGATGAGACTAAGGTTAAAGACCACCACAGATGATCAGCATCAAGAGAAGATTGCATCAGAGTTTCTTTACTGGCAAAGTGTTCTGAAAAGGCTCATTGCCATTGTGAGAATGCTTGCTACCCAAAACCTAGCACTGCGTGGCACTTCAGATCAGCTGTATGTGCCAAAGAATGGAAACGTCCTTAAAATTGTGGAGCTGATGGCTGAGTTTGATGCTATACTCCAGGAGCATCTAAGAAGAGTCACCACCCAAGAAATGTACGCACACCGCTACCTTGGAAAAACAATTCAAAATGAGATCATACAGTAACTGGCAACAAAAGTCAAACAGAAGATTGTGGCAGATCTGAAGTCAGCAAGATATTACTGTTATTCTGGACTGCACACTTGACATCAGCCATACGGAACAAATGACTTTAATGGTGCATTTTGTAACAACAACAGAACCTAGTGAAAATGTCCCTGCAATGGTGACTGTCAGAGAGCATTTTCTAGAATTTATTGACATTGATGATACTACAGGAGCTGGTATGAGAAATGTGCTTCTTAAAAAGCTGGAAGATACAGGAATTGCGATAGCTGACATGAGAGGTCAGGGCT